GGAAGAAAGAAATGTGACAAAAATAGGAGAATCACGAATACAGATAACTACAGCTTGAAAGATGGCTGCAAGAATTTGAAGCAAAAATCAATTGAAAAATTTTAGTATGATTCACAAAGAATGGACTACAGCGCTTCAAGAGCTGCAATGTCCAGGGAAATGTTACATTCATAATCAACCACTCCTGAACCAGACATGAGATCAGAAGCATTTTATCTGAGCTAAACAGAGAAAAAGGAAGGTTTGTTTTGCAGTGATAGAGTCCTATTTTTAGATGAAAGTACATTTATCATTTTATTTAGAAACTGAGGAATCAGAGTCTAGAGGGAGAGAAGAGGAGGGAGATAAACCAAGCTGCTTGACGCCCAGTGTGAAGTTTCCATAGTCAGTGATGCTTTGAGGAACTCTGTCATCTGCTACTGTTGGTTCAGAGTCAAAACAACCTTCTGTTGGAAAATTTTAGAGCATTTTATGCTTCCCTCTGCTGACAAGCATATGGAGATGTGAATTTTGTTTCACAGTGGGGTTTGGCACCTGTCCACATAACCCAAAATGACCCATACCTGCTGTAAAGACCATGGTGTCGCTGCACTTCATTAGATACGAAACCTCTCTGACCCCACAGAGAACATATGGAGTTTTGTTTATAACTCCTTATTATTAACAAATAATATAGAGTTACTATTATTTATTATGTAATTATTACTAGAGACACCAGACCCCCAGAAAATGCAGGCATATGTACATGCGGTACCATGAAAGCATCCTAAAATGTAATCAAAACCACAAGTTGATCACCTTAATGTCATACTGCAGTGATGAAGGCGTTCATGCAAAATTATCCTCAAACAAGCATTGAGTGTGTTTACTGTTCAGCACATGGACACAAATGTCCGCATTAGACGTCTTGCCCTTTAAATTTATTTGCAGTTTAAGCCAGACGAAAAGTGCGCATTGATCAGATCCTTCATAATGAAGCCATTGGGATTTGAATATTTCCTGGTTGTTCGATACTAGTCAACATGTGACATTTGGCTGAAAATATGTGTTCTCACAAGTTCCTTCGTTTTCCCAGAGTTCTTCAGAGGGAAAACTTCTCTCCAGCAAGGCGACCGGCTCCGTCCTGCACGGCTTGGCTCCCACCAACAGCTGTGACACCTTCATCACCAACTTACCTTTTTATTGTCACCGATCATCCTTAACTGAGAAGCATTTAAAAAGCCATTGATCTTGATAATGCCGGGCCATAATATGACATTAACAGTTGTAGGAGATTCAGGAAGTCAAATTTCCGAGACGGATGAGTCGTAGCAGGTGAGTTATCATCCATCTACCTGAGCGATGCTGGGGCTCCTGTTAGACACGAAGGAGCAGACAAATAAATAAAAGCCATAAAGGTGACACAGGAAATTGGTACTTAACAATCATCTTGAGCAACAAGCACCCTGCAAGAGTGGTGGGCAGCAGTAATGGCTGTGGAAGGAAAAGACTGAGAAGGTTAACAGGTCATAAAAGGAACAAAGCCCACTAAAGGGACCACATAAAAGTTTGGGGTTTCCCTCCTCTGTAGATATGTCAGCCAGTCAGCTGTGGTGGTGTGTAGGAAAGGGCCACCTCAGCGAATTTAAACAATCTAATAGAAAAATTTACAACCTTGAGCTGCATGCGACATCGAGAGCTGTGTGTAAAGAAACATGCTTACTGTTAGCTGCAGCACATTAACGCAGGCTTCACTACTTTAAAAAAAATAAAAAAATAAAAAATAAAAAATCTAGGTCATGTTTTAGTTATTTTATTACTCTTAAAATGGTGGTATAAAACAGGAGACAAGGAAGTGGAGTGGAAAATTATTGAAAGTTTTGTGTAGGCTGTTTTGCACATCTTTTACAAATGGAGGTGACGCTCCTGCTGTTTCACAAAATACTACAAAAAAGACAAAATGTTAAAAAAGAAAATACCATAAAGACAAAGGACAATTACAGGCTTCTTGTTTCACAATGTTCTTTGTCAAAAAGTATGTTTTGAAAGTCAGTAAGTTCTGCTTACTTTACTTATTTTGTCATGACTTATGGATACAGGGAGCTTTATGATTAAGGGGTGCACACACAAACTAATAATTATTTGAATTTTTAAGGCATCTTGGTTAAAATTTATGTTCAACAAAACAAAACAAAAAACAACACATGGGCAGCAAAGTGTTGTCCAATGATGGCCACCAGGACAAGGGAATATAGACAATGGATGGATGAATCTCTCTTTCATCTTTTTAAAATCCAAAATTAATGGTTGTAGGTGCTAAAATATTTGCACGTTTTTGTTTCTTCTCTGTTCCTAAAATGTTTGTTTAATTTGGTTAAAAGTCAGAATGTGATGATCACTAGTCATTTTAATGTGATTTTTAACTATAATGCAAAAATAAATAAGGACAAGACATATATTTCAAATACCTCATTTACACACATAAATACAAAGTACTTTTTGTTGTTGTTTGTTTCTCTGTACTTGGATTGTGCCTAACTGGCTCATAATTGGATAAAATTGCTCTACCTGAAATGAAACCTTTATTTCTGTGACTAACACAGCTGGCTTCGTTTTTATTATTTCTTTTTTTTTTTTTTTATCCTGTGGGATTTGATTAAAGCTGTCCTCATATATACTGAGTTCATGCTACCCAGTTAGTACCCACAAAACGTTTTCTAAAACTGTATTATTTTTTAACAGTTTTAGAAAAGAAAATGTACAGAAGACCAACTTGGAGCACATGGTTGAAACAGTTTGTTTGGAAGGAGGATGTGCATCCAGTTTAAAACAATTGTGAAGTGAGTGTGTCATTTAGATTAATAGGTGATGTAAATGAGTGCATTTGAATAGTGGTTTCTAACAAAAACATGAAAATAAATGAAGCTTGCGGTGAAAAAGAACAACCTTAATGACTCTTAGAATTAATAGATTTTGGGGGAAAATCTGTTTACAATCTTTAAGTTTGCATTTTATTTGAAGATGTATGGCAAAAAAAATACAGCAAAGCAGAAGACAATGTCATTCTGCAGGAGAAGCTCGTGACCCGACATTGCTTCTAAAATACCTACTTTATACAAAAATGCATATGCAGCAAAATTAGAATTGTCCACTGATGCTTGCATTGACTCCGGCCACTAGTGTCGCTGTTCATTTATGTCTGTTTATGTTCTCCATTTAATGATTGAAACAAACAGTTTCATACTTGGTTTTCATGCGAGCTAAGACAGATGTTTTGATGCACAAAATGCTTCTGATGTCCAGAATCAAATCAATTTCACAACAGCTTTGTGTGAGGCAGTAAAAGATTACTCAAAAATTCCTCTAAAATTTACAATGAACCATAACCAAGACCGGTTTCATGGTAATCTTCAACAGGCATCATTTATCACCAAATACGACAAGTATTTTATCGCCAAAGCCAAGAAATCATGAAAACAGCATGTAGGGCTCATAGGCTTAGCAGGTCTTTGCCTTTGCGAACAGATGTCAAGTCAAACAGTCAACAGAGTCCAGTGAGTAAGTAGAAAATAATGAGTTTAGATGCTAATGTGTGAACAACCAGCTAACCTAATGTTCAGATGGACATAGAGTGTCCCTCGTCACTCTGGGGCCCTTGAGTGAAGGCTTTCCTTGACCTCTGGGGATCCCCCTTGACCCCGTACATGGAATTACTGCACACCAGTGTGTGGATCCTCCTGTTTTTAGTGTCTGGAAGGGGAATGTGTTTGAGGAAGGAGGTAGAGGGCTGTTTTGGGCCTCAGCAGCCACCAGAATCATAAATCAACCTGTATATCTAAGAATTTCAGGAATCTAGCACAGTCTGCTCTGTCTTCCTCATCATGCCTTGCCTTTCTGTCTCTTAGTTTAAGTGAGCACATTTCCACAGCGGAACCTTCTCTCTCGCATGGCTTTTATTGCTTTCCTCCCATCACCACCTTTCCATACAGACTTTCTTCATTTGATCTTAAATATTCACCCAGTTGTAGCTCACAAAATAGCTCCCCGAACGTCAACAAAGACCTACCGCAAACCGGTGCCAAATATTTACCAAATGACAACTGATCCAGGGACTGATAATGAATCAGGAGTAGGAAGTCATTAGATGAGACAGTGGGGATCAGCTTTACCGCTCCCAGTTTTGGAGCTGTCAGTGGGCCTCCGTGACAGCTCATTCACAGTAAGGCCGCTGATATAAAACTGTCAGCATGGCCACAATTTGTGTGCAGTTTTGTTTACAATATTTATGCTCAGACTCACATTACATGAGTGTAAGAGAAGGTTAGCTCCTTCATCAGGTACAGTTATTATCTTTGACTTATGAAATCATGGAGACCCTTGAGCATACGTGACCCACTTTTTGCCAAATAAAAACACTGTTATCTCATTGGAATTTGGGGGAAAATAAACATTTGATGACAGTTTGCGTTTGAGACTCCACACTCTATAAATGCCCAGCAGATGCCAGTAAACAACTGCACAATGCTCTTTGAGATAATTTGTTGTCATTGGTGATTGGGTAGCATTGGTCTCTCGTGGCCCTGTGGCGAGTTGGAAGGGCTTCCACACTACACGGGCGAAACATGTTCCCTGAGAGCGAGGCCAGCTCCAACTTGCAGGGCTACAGTTTGACTAGAGAAGGAGAGGAGGGCGGGGAGAAGTAGGGAGGAGGCAGGATGAGATCTTGTCATGGTGCCCAGTGGGTTCTGAGCTTGTGGTTGGAAACGCTGGAAAAACTGCCTTGTCTCCGTGATTAATGGAGGGGGAAACTCTGAGGCAGCGGCGCAGGAGAGAGGAAGGATTGTGCAACGTGAATACACAATACTGTAAAGTTTTCAATGAATCTCAAGCCCAGTTTAATTTAAATGCATAATCCATCTCCTTTTTTTCCATTTGGCATGGGAATCCATAATTAGGAAATACTGTTTTTTTTTTTTTAAGTCTTTGGCTTTAAAAATGAACAGGGTAAACACTGCACATGATTACAATTTTCCTAAATGTGTTTATTAAGCATGTTCAGTATGGAAACATTCATCAAAAAATAATGGGGAAACTCACTGAATGTATAACAACTTGTATAAAATAAACAAATTAATGAAACTTGAACAAATGTTCTCCTCATTTCACAATTTTACCACTTCACATAAACAGTTAGCTATGAAAAAATATACTACCGCCTAGTGATAGTCAAACAACAAATTTGCTTGGAAAACAACACAAATAACACAAAAAAGAAACAGTATTAGTTGTTCAAAATGTCCTTCGTGCAAAAAAAAAGTTAATATCTACAATATTTCCTTGCTGTAACTTCAGGGCTTCCAAGCGTATTCACACTTGTGTTCAACTTTTGCACATTTTGTTATGTTACACCCCACACACTTTTTTTATTTATGTACAGTGGAACTAAAATGGAACAATACATAACTTGTATTCAGGCTCCTCTGAGTCGATAGTTAGCAGAGCCACCTTTAGCTGCAATTACAGCAGCAGATTTTTGGGGTTCTGTCTCTACCAGCTTTGCATATAAAAAAGACTGAAACTTCTGATCATTCATCTTTGTAACAAAGCTCAAGTTCTGCCAGAGAGCATCTGTGAACACCATTTCCAAGTCTTGCCATGGATTTTGTGCTTCACTATATACTGCCCATCTGTTTCAGCATTCAGAAACTTTATGTGGCATACAATGTTGGTATGAGGCTACTACTTAAAGTGCCTACGTGAAGTAGTGCTACCCATATACACGAGGCTATACCCACATATCCAGCTGTACTCGGGAATGCGTAGGTTATCTGGTGTCATGCAATAATATAATTGCAATTTTAGTAAACCCCGCACTGAGGACAGTCAGATTTACCTCAATATTGTGGAACCACTGGCATCATAATTTATTTGTGACTCGGTGAACAATATTATGTGTTTATTTTGATCTTTTTTTATTATTAGCTTCATTTGTTTTATCTTTTTACTACAGACTTTTTTCTGTGTCTGAAATAAAGACTCGCTGTCCACTATTTAGGTGGACGGTCGTGTCTTGGTTGGTTTGCAGGAAGGTTGAACTCTTTCATCTAGAGATGATGGATTGGACAGAGCTCTGTAAATCCTCAAAAACGTGGAATATTGCTTCATAACCTAAATTTGCTTTGAGATTCTCCATTGTTCACTGATGTTCTGTAACGCACTCCTGAGGCTTTCACAGAATGAAATTACTCATTTGTTCACTTTGAATATATGCTAATTTTGACTGAAAATTGGAGTATTTTATTTTGGAGTATCAGATTTAATTGAGTTTGTAATTTATGTAAAAAAAGATTGAAAACCAGGTGTTTTCTTTCAGCCACACAACTGCAAATTGCTCTTTAATGGTGTAAAATCCCAACCAAGTACATAAAAAAAATGTAAGTGGTATGAATACTTTTGGGATGCGCTGTGAATAGCCGTGTATAACGAGTTCAAAAATCCTCCTCCATGCAAAATTTTTAAAGACATGCAGTCTTTTCTTTCTGTGCCTATAAACACAAAGAATATTGCACTGCTCTCTTTTAATTAATATGTGCTCATATAGTCTAATTAAAATGTTTCATTTTATGTTTCAGTGAATGGATGCGGTAAGTAGATGGCATTCCTGGGATGCTGTTCACACATCGCTCCAGTCTTTCATAAGCAGCTGAAGGTGAACAGCAGAAGAAATATGTTTAAGGACAGAAGGGAGAGCCTTTATAGGGCCTCAGAGCCAGTTTGAAATGCTGACTTTCTGATGACCTTCTGCAGTTGTGTATGAGGGAGGTGGACCATTCGCAACAGCTGGAAGCATGCAGTTTAGATAGGACATGTCTGCAGGGTCAAACAGAGAGAGCATTGCGTGATCCATGGGGTGCGATTCCAAGGAAGAGCAGAAGGAAGTTCTGACAGCACATGCTACTGGGAGCCCCACGTGCAGCTCGCAAAGGGAGTCCTGGGACAAACCTGTCACCCTGCCATACTTTTGCTCCTTCTTAAGCTTCATCCTGCGGTTCTGAAACCAGATTTTGACCTGACGATCGGTGAGCTGCAGCCTGGCTGCCATCTCTTGTCTCCAGTGGCGTCGCAGGTAGGGGCTGAAGTGGAACTCCTTCTCCAGTTCCAGCAGTTGGTTGTTGGTAAAGGATGTCCTCTCTCGCCTCTCTCCTCCGCCTGCAGCACTAGATGGCCTACCGTCCTTGGCTGAAGCTGGAGACGAGCAGAGAAAGAAACAAAGTCTTACACAGGAACCGCAATGAGTGTAGCACTTCCATTCTGGAGCCCTCGGGTGCCAGCAAACCCAACCTCAATCCTCAGCTCATCAACCTGAGACCAAGCGGAGCCCTTGGTTCCTATTCAGTCTTCCTCAAGACTCCTAAACAAGACTGGCTGTCTAGCATGTCATGTGTTCGGGAAAAGTTCCCTGCCGAAGAGGCAGTCTGGGGAAAACATCTGACGCCACCACGGCTGCCTGACAGGCCACATTAATCAGAGCTCCACACGGAAGCAGACCTGTCAAATTCCCATCTCAGTCACTTAAAAGGTACCTCGGGAGCACCACTGAAAATAGCTGCCATTAGGGATTCAGTTTGACATGTATATGAGCAATACCAGGGCCCTCTCGATAACAATATGACACGGAGGGGTTAATGGATGTTTAATAAGACCTATGGTTAGTACATTAGACAGAGTACGGTGGCGTCTTTAAAAATGGCTGACTGTTTCCTTGTTCTTCACCGAATTGTTTGGAACGCCAGGAGAAGTTGTCTCGGTCTAATTTATATAAAACCAACTCGCATAAACTCACATCTCGAGGGACTTTACGATGAAAAACGTTCCCATTCGTCTCCAGTGTACGGTATCTGTACTGGTCTGGATTAAATTAAGCTTACATCAATTTAACTAAATGAAATTACAACAAAGGTAATTTTGAGGCACTTTACAAGCTCAAATCAGTCAATTCCATTCAAACTTTAATACAGTCAGTTTATATTAGCTTCCAGTCAGTGTAATTCATTGCAATAAAATCCAGTCATAAAGTCAGAATAATTATGTACAATGAACTGCATCTTTTATTTTGAAATTAAAAAAGCTTTATATTATGAAAGCAAATAACACCATAGCCATTTGCTCACATCTATCTCTGCAGTATTCTTTATCTTTACTGTCAAATTACTGTGCACTTGCAACATAATAATCTATTGTGTACATGTGTTAGCAAACAAATGATCATAACAAGTGATCGTAGTTCATGAGCAAGTGTTTTTTTTTTGACAAATGAGAAGCAACGAAAACAACATAACTATTCCCTCAGTTTTAACTTTAATAAGTAGAGATGTTAGAGATGCACAATATCTCAAATCACAATCATTGTGTGGATTCTAATATGCACAGCTCTTGTGCAGTACAGATGCAAAATAATAAAAAAAAAGGTTTCAATGTTCATGAATAAGTTAGTGTCAAAATAAACTAAGAAATGAATACCTCATTTTTAGTGATCTGTCTACACACCCCAAAAGGAATGAGGAGATCCTTTTGGGGTGTGTAGATTCCTCAACATTCTTAACACATTTCAAGCCAATAATTCAGGTTGTTCAGAATTATTTTTAAGTTGTTNGGATTTTTAGATTAAACAAAATAATGTATCAAGGAAACTATCACAAAAAAAAAAAAAAAAAAAAAAAAAAAAAAAATTTAAAAAAAAAAAAAAATTTGGCCACCACAGCCAGGGAAAAAGTGTTTTCTTTTAAAAAACCAGGG